CCTACCTTCATACCAGCTCTACATGGAAATCAGTGGGGAAAAGCTGGCAACTTTCAGACTCACAAGGGTGCAAAGAAGATAAGCTATAAAATACGTCCAGCTAAAAATAATAAATAAATAAATAAATAAATATGCTTACTCTGGGCAGACACTTAGGCAAGACTGTAACAAAATAAAATCAGAGGCCCAAATTTTTGAGCCTTTACTATACATATGCTAGGTATTCTGCTTAGTGCTTTGCATGGATTTTTCTCATTTACTCCTCACAAAAGCCCTAAGAATAATAATTAGAATTATTAGCATTTAGCCAAAGAGGATATTGAGTTTGCAAAAGTCAAGTAACAGCCCACAACTAGAAAGAGAGACAAAACTGAAATCCCAGGTCTATCTCATTCTAAAACCTATGCTCCCAACCACTTCAGGGACTATCTCTCCGTAAGATGGCTCCCTACACAAACCACCTCTCCCCGCTACCTGCTCACCTTACTTCTTTATGCTATGGGATTATCTGTCACCCAGAGGGAGCATTTGCATTAACCAGCATCTTCTGCTGTTGTAGGAGAGTGGTAATATGAGAGAAAGCTCTCCCAAGTTCTAGAAAATGCCTTTGTTGTCTAATCTTCACTACTACCACCTTCAACCAATACTGACAGTCTCAACCATGCCACTTAATTCTCTCTTCAATAAAAGACAGGATTCTGTTTTCCCAAGGGCTAGAGGTGAAGCTGTAATTGACTCTTGAGTTTGCTCAAGTCCCTCCCAAATAAAGATATTACATAACATGGGAACCCCCAGAGAGCCCTGAAGCCCCATGGCACTGAATTTAATGCTATTCCCTTTCCGGTTACACCTCACCTTGTCAGAGGACTGTAGAGGGGCTTATGCTGCAGATATCAGGAGTAAGGAGATCTCTTCTCAGAATCACTCGGAAGTCCAGGTATCGACCTTGCTCACATTGCCATCCCCCCTCCCTCCATCATCAACCTGGAGATTCTCAGCACCCAGCATGACATACTCATACATGCTAATACGTCACTGTCTTGGAAAATCACCACTGTTCTGCAAACTTACATGCAGCTAGAGAGCCATTTTCCAGAAACCAGTCCCAGCTTTGGCCCTCAACTACCACCCCTCCCCAGAAGTCAGCTGTCACCTGC